TCGCTAGCATACTTAAGTATAGCATTCTCTTGAATGCTTTCTTCATGTGCCTTTTTCCTAATTACAATTAAGATCATAAATAGTTCTGTGTTTTAAAATTTAAAACGATATAATGAAAGCTTTTTGTTTTTATATTTCTGTTGCTGGTTTGCCTGTCCCCCACCCTTCTCTCTCTGTCCATATATTCTAGACAGGCTCAAACTCATGATCCTGTTGTCTCAACCTCCTGAGTTTTGGGATTACAGGTATTTGTCACTAAGCCTGGCATTTTATATAGTTTTCATAATTATTTTTTGGGAAAAATTTACTGTGGTAAAGAATACATACAATATTTTAACTGTTGTAAGTATGATTCAGTGGTAATATCTATCTATTACTAGGCAGATGCCATAGCATGCAACACAGTACTTTTTCTAAAATTGGAACTGTGCACTGTTAGCCTCCTCCAGACTCAGTCTGGGTGCCCCCTGTTTGTGTTTTTCTGTATGTATTTGTCATGTTGAGATTGACTTAAAATTTAGCATAGTGTTCTTGGAATTCATGTTGTACCATGTGCCTGAATTTTCTACCTTGTTAAGGTTGGGAGATAACTATATTTATGTATGTATTATATTTTGTTGACCCATTCAACCATTATCAGGCACTCCTCAATTAGAGTTTTTGAAGACAGATAATTGTCCATCATGTAGATACATCATAATATATTTCGACAGTGTGGTTGCCTTTATCTAAGTTGGTTTGTCAACATGTCACACCCAGTTGGAAAAACAGAGTACCTCTCATCCACATAGAGTGATCAAAGCTAGGCTCCAATTCCTTTTGAGACAGTTACTATATAAGTGGGAGGGTAGATCCAGAATGCCCACAGTTGGATTTCTGGTCCTCTGCCCATCTCTAGTAGTGGCCATCTGTGAGTCTTGGAGATCACTGAGGGATTTCACTGCTTTTTGAAGACAGTCTGGATTCATTCCTAGTCAGCTCATTACATAGCACTCAAGTTAACTGCAGTGCTGCTCCCCTTTCCTCTTGTCCACTGCCTGTCAGTGGGGTACAAGAAAAGCTTGGTAGAGTCAGTCTGGTTCTCTGTGGGTCTGTGTCATCCTTTTGCCAGCTCCTATGTGAAGAAGTAGAAGTTGGTTGAGGTAATATACTTGCTTGACTGAATCAAGGCTCTTTGGTACTTTTCTGTCAGTCTGATCTCATGTACTTCCATTTGTCTCTTAGTAATTTAGAAGTCATCATTGGTCTCTCTGTTTTCTGCATTTCTTCTTTTATCTCTGATCATTTTAGTGGGAATTTGGGAAACACATGGACTAACTTGTCATCTTGAATTTTTCTTGTTTTACTATCTTCCTTTTTTCCACTGCTAGGAAAATGCCCTAGACTGAGTAATTTGTGAACAATAGAAATGTATTGCTCTCAGTCCTGCAGTTGAGTTCAAGGTCAAAGATATCAGTACATTTGGTATCTAGGGAGGGCTACATGCACCTTGGAGTAATCTTACCTTATGAAAGGGACAGGGACACTCACTGGAGCCTTTTGTATAAAGGGTACCAATCTGCTGTGAGGATGCAGTTTTTATGGTGGAATCACTTCCTGAGGTCCCCAGCTCTTAAGTTTTTCTTAGGTTTATTTATTTTAATTTTTGTGTATTAGTGTTTTGCCTGCGTGTGTATCTGCATACCACATGTGTGCCTGGTACCCTCAGAAGTTGGAAGAGAGCATTGAATCCCTTGGAACTGGAGTTACAGATGTTGGTGAGCTGTCACATGACTGCTGGGAATTGAACCCAGATCCTCTGAAAGAATAAGTGCTCTTAACTGTTGCATAATATTTGCAGCCCAAGATCCCAAACTTGATAGCATATTACCCTGAGTATTAGGAGCTAACATAACAAGTTGGGGGCATACCAAAATTTACTTAGATCATAGCAGTTGTGTTTTCCCATTTTATTTAACTCTCTTAATCTGTTTTCATTAAATTTATTATCTATTAATTATATGTATAGATACAGGTGATTTTGGGTACTTTTCTCTTTTATATGACTTCCTCCCCTGCCTCGAGATAGTATACCAACTGGAATTTGGGCAATGTTGAATAGCACATTTTGTGGACATCTTTGGTTGATTCTTTGTTTTAGTTTTAATAATACTGGTTTTAATCACATTCTGCATTTTGCCAAATTATTTTCTGGAAAAATAAAGCAGAATTGGAAAATGGTTGTCACCCACATCCACACTGTGCTGACTGACCATGAGTGCTGAGAAAGTTACTTCTCATCTGTGGCTTTATCATTCTAAAAGGAAATTTCACTCTGGTTGTTTGTGTTTTCAAATGTTGCTATGTACTTTATTAAAAATTTAGGGGATTGCAACTATCTATACAGAGTGGATTTATCAGTAAATATTGCTTGCATTCTTAAACTGATCAGATCTAATCCCCTATTTTAGCTAAATTGACTTTCATTTAATAACATGAACAAAAGATAGCACAAAACATGATGTTATAATAATGTAGATGATAATAAATTACCCTACTCCCCAAATTTCTACTCTTGAGATTTCACTGTTTTCTCCCTTTAAATCATTTGCTTTTTCCTGTAGATATTTGGAGCCTGAGAATAGCTAAATTTGGTTTTGATTCATTTTTTGTTCTCATCAAATAATCACAAGGCTTTTCCTGTTTTACAGCAACATGGGAGTGGAGTGGAAATGACTCTTGTTAATCTTGGCAGTGTGGTTTGGTGGAAAAGGATGGTATTGGCGTAAGATGTTGAGTTTTATTTCTGTCACTCTTAGACTAGTGAGGTTTGAAAAACCTCATTTAAAATCTTGATTTAAGAATTTGTAAAGTGGTTGTATTAGCTCTCTGGGAGGTTGTGAATGTGAAGGTGAGCAATGGGCCCTTGGCAATGGAAAAATTCTTAGTTCTTGCTCAGCCTTTCTCCTTTCTTCAGTAGTTCACTCTCATAGCATGGCCATCCAATAAGAAGTGTTATGTTTTAGTTTTTAGTTGTAATTGAAGATAATCCCCCTCTATGAATTATTCTTTATTTCTACTTTAAAATAGAATCAGAGTGAATTGTTTTTGAATATCCTTTTACTTTATTCCAGATTTTACAAATGGTAAGATATTAATAAAATAACGATAGCATTGCCCAACATTTATTGAATATTATATGGCAGCCAGGCAATTATTTGCAATGCCTTCATATATTTCTTTTAATTTTCCTATATTCTCATACCTTAAGGAATGGAGTCATAGAAGGATCCAGTTGGGGAACATGAGAACTGCCCAGTGAGTTTGTCTGTAGAATTGCAAAGGTTGACTACCTCCCATCTGAAAGTAGCATTTCTGACCCAGGATTTTCCAGACTAGGGATCTCAACTAATAAAGCCTTTTGTTATTTGAAAGTCTGAAAAACACTGCACTCAAATCTGAAACCCCCTGATCTTACCTAGTTTGGACAAGGCTGCTCACCTGCTTAGTCACTGTCTGCTCTGATGCTGTTTGTCTGTTATCATGGCCTCTCCAGGATTGCCTATTTGGAGGCCTTTTCTTATTTCCTTTGCTCTGTAAGCCCATTCTATTGCTTATAGATCTAGATGTAGAAAAAACATTATAATGATCTTTATAGAGAAGGTAATTATTATGAAATTATGGTAGGGTCAAGCATAAAGCATTGTTTCTATTAAATATGTTGAGTCTAATCTGTAGCATTGAGTTTTTCCTAGCTGAGGCAATGTAATTTGATTTTTTATTTCTTTCCTTGACATTCTCTCTAATCTGAACCACCATTTTTTTTTTTTTTTAATGTGTGTGTACCATAAGTGTGCCTATGCGAGTGTCCTTTGGTTTAAATTGCATACTTTTGTGAGCTGACTGGTGGGCACTGGGAATTGAACCTAGGTCCTCTGCAAGAGCAGACAGTTCTCTTAACCACTGTCTCTCCAGCCCTACCTTTAGTCTTAACAGTAGTTTAACTTGTTCTCACTAGTTAGGGGTTTCTTGTCTCTGGAGTTCTGTCACTAAATTTTCCTTGGCTCAGGTCTTTTAATTTTTTGTCTTTGTTTTGCTGTTACAACATCTATAGGTCCTGCTGCATTGGCTTCATTGCAGGATATAGTTGCATCAAGAGTCTCTCAACTTTGCCTGGGTACTTGTTGACTGTTTGCAGCATTGATCTCTTGGTATAGAAGTTTGTGTTGCCTGCCTTCTCCCACTGTGCTGGTGCTTCTTGGCTCAGGGCCTAGACTTCATTGACCTTCGCATTTCCAGTGCCGGCTCAGCTTAGGGTTATGTTGGCTGCTAAGGAGACATTTCCTCCTGAGAGTGTACTGTGGTTACTCTTACTCTTCACTCTGGACTGTCAACTTTTGTTAGATTCCTTAGCTGCATCTTCCACCTTTACCTGATATGGGATGTTAGAGTTTACCACTAGATACATACCACCGCTCTAGAGGTGGTGGGGCCTGGGAGAATGGAGCCAATCAATGAGGCAGACTAAAGTCTCCTGCAATAGTCAGCTTTATTCAAAGCCTCAGATAGTTTGTACTCTGAGCATTAGGAAAGGTTACAGAGTAAAGTACTGATGAGTTTAAGCTGTATACAATCACAAGGTCAAGCTACACATGGCAAAACCATGTTTTTCCATAGAGGCATATAAAATATAGTTTAAATATTTAATTGAATAACAACAGCAAGCAATAATGAGTAATCTGAGGTAGACTTACCCCTATCTGCTACACCTGGGAGGAGCATAAAAACACATTCCTAGAACAATTTCATGTTTTGAAGACACTGTGGTCACAACATTCTTGTCTTGTTTTCTGGGAGTGCTCATATGCATTTACTACTTGGATTTTACCAGTCACTACAATCAGTGGCTTCATCAGATAGTTGTAAGAACTATTCTTTAGTTTCAGCTACAGCACTTGCTTGTTAGAACTTTTATTTTAAAATATATACCTATATCCTATTTTTTTGTCATTGTTTTGCAGATTTGTAAGAGCCCAAGACCTTCAAGTCATTAATAATCTGACGGTTCCTGAATTAACTGGGAAAACAAACAGATCAAGTGCCAGTTGAAGACTGTATCCATACATGTAAACCTTGTCTACACACACACCTTCATAAGAAGACAGGTTCATTCTGCACACAGAATTTCGCAGCTGATGAAAATTAAGCATCAGATGAAACAACTTGATACTGCTGGGGTCTGGAGTCGGTGGAGCGCAGTCCATCACTAATGACAAATTTTCCTTATGGTGTTCATGGGCAGAGCAAGTTTGCAGAAGAAAAAATTGCACGAATTAAGCCTCAAGATTACCTCTCCAGTATAAAGAAGCAACAGAGTTTAAAACTCTGCACTAAAACTCAGTAACTTTTACTTTGGTTGTGGCTTTCGTGAGGGGAGAGATCTGAAAAGGAACAGATAGATTCCTTTGTGTCTTTAGCTAACTATTTGAAAAAAAATTTATTTATTGTTTAGCTTTTTGAAAATATAAGGTATTTTAAAATTCTAATTGGAACTGCCAATTACAAAATAAATATCAAGGAAAAACCTTCTTGAACTAAGGTGTGTGAACAGGCTTGTACTCAAAGGTGTCTTTTCAGCTCAGCAAAGCGTAGAGCTGCTCTAGAGAGATGGTACAGCTTGGAGAATGCTGATACACACCTGGAGGGATGGTTTAAAGACTTGGATTTGAGAGGAAGATTATTTAATGGGCTTAATTCTAAGATTGCTTTCTTTTCCACCAAGATAGAAGAATACGTGATCTTTAGGAGCAAAAAAAGCAGAGAAACGAGTTTAAGGAGAAGCAAATACCTGCAGCCTCTTTTTCAGGGAGAATCAGGAGTAAGGAAAGCACTTGGTCCAGGTTGAATGCAGCTCTAACCTCTACTCCACCAAGGGAAGGGGCTTTGCTCCAGTCCCTATGGCACTGAGGGGTGCTCCAGCCAATGGAGGAGTCCTTCTAGGGAGCCACGTATTCCTGGGGACACAGGGCCAGCCTTTGAGACAGGAAACTTCTGATTGTGAACAGTGGGGAAAAGTGTTTTTCTTCCTGATATTTGGGCTGCCGTTTGCACACGAGCTCCAGCCTGATTTTGCTCGTTAGTGTGCCTTTTCCCTTATGCAAACTTTTTCAGCTGTCCAACAGAAATTTGTCTAGTTCAGAAATTGTGCCAGAGGGTGGCTTCAGAAAGAAGGTGATCTTGTATGTTCATTGTCTGCATTTGAACTTTTGAGTAGAAAATTCTAGTTAGAGGGATTCTTAAACACCTTAAGTTACTTGAAATCTATGTGTCTGCAACCCTTTATCTCTGGAATCACATTACACAAAACTGGAATCTCAGGCTGAGAATAACCAAACTGAGTGAAGACAAAGCGAACTGCTTCTCCATCACCACTTACTAAAAGAGCTCTTTCTCCAAAGGATTGGCATGTTTTCCTCCTAAGAACATAAAAATGAAAACAGACTCCATGTGTTTTTAGGCATTACCTTTCTTAGCAGACTGATGTTATCTTTTACAGAGGAATTTTTTCACTATGTATTTGGTGGATCTTTGTAAAATATTGACCTAATTTGACTGTAAATCAGTTGTAACTAAAGGAGAAAAAAAAAACAAAAAACAAAAAAACAAACCGAGTCCAGCTACAAAAATAAGCCAATGAAAACTTGGTTTGAAGTTTTCAGTTCTTTTTAAGTGAAATAATTCATTGACAAAGTATGTATGCAGCAGTGGAGCATGGGCCTGTGCTTTGCAGTGACTCCAACATCCTCTGTCTGTCCTGGAAAGGGCGTGTCCCCAAGAGCGAAAAGGAGAAGCCTGTGTGCAGAAGGCGCTACTATGAAGAGGGATGGTTGGCCACAGGCAATGGGCGAGGTGTGGTGGGGGTGACTTTCACCTCTAGTCACTGTCGAAGAGATAGAAGTACTCCACAGAGGATAAACTTCAACCTTCGAGGTCACAACAGTGAGGTGAGCTGTGATTTTGTTTCCATTTTTCTGTGGTTATGTCTAGTGGTCTTTTTGAGCCTCCTCCCTGGCCCCAAAGTATATTTCAGTTTCTTAGACTTGGTGGTAGTGAGACTTGATACTGTGAATTTCATCTCCTGTATGCCACCAAGAAAGATACTTTTAGGTGGGCATTGTTCATGGTGTCCTGTCCTTCAATAAGTAAGTCATGTGTCCCCGTCCTTTCCTGCTCTCCTTTCCCTCCTGAGAAAAGCACAGCTATTTGGGGGATACCCACTGTTAGGTATCTGATTAGGGTAGAAGAATCACACCAGATGATCCTAAGCAGCTTTTTAGGTTCCTTGTTTCCATGACAGAGAAGGACATATTCTATCCTAAGGCTCAGTGTGAAAGTCACAGTGGTGCTACCTCCACCTCCTAGCCAATTACTGTGTTTCTGTGGTGATGGCTTAACACCTAGCCTGTGTTTCTTGTAGTTGGAGGTGAAAGAACTCCTTAATTTGACAAGACCCATTGTTTTCACATCATATAGGCTCTGTTGTACTGATGTTTATGTGTTCTATATTCATACATAGATTCTTCTGGCCTTCTAAAACCCAAAAGTGGCATTATATGTAAAGTTTATTCTACTATTTGTTGAGGAATGCTTAAGTGCTAACGACTGTATTTAAAAGAAGGCCATGATTGATAGTTTCTTGCTAAGTTTATTTGTATAACACCATAGTAATATACTTCATTGTTCATTAGCTTATTTGAGTGTTTCTTAGGAGGAATTTGTGACGATTTTGGGTATCTTAAAATGTCATTGGATGGTTATGCAAAAGCAAGAATATCTTTGAGATATGTGTCAATCGTTCAGACTGCTGTAACTAAATACCAAAGATTTGGTAGTTTATGATCAATGCAGATTCACTCCCCGCAGTTCTGGAGGTTGGTCTGAAATCTGGCTTGTCAACTTAGAGGGTTTTGTGGAGATGATGGGGGTACACTGACAATTATTTTTTGTTGGGAACAGGTTGAGAGATCCTCTGGGATCTCTTATGAGAACACCAATCCTGTTCAGAAGGGCTCTGCTCTCATGATTTAACTCTCTTTATAAAGGTCTTCCCTTTAGGTTATATTTCAACGTAGGGGTTTAGAGAGGAGCTCAGCATTCATACTGTAGCAATATAATGTATAGTCTCACATGGAAACTTCCACTGAATTAATTGTGGAATATTCCAGTACCTGTTGTGGGGACCTGCTGCTGTTCCTTCTCTGACTTTACATTCATCTTAGACCATTCTTGCTGCTATAATAAAATATCTTATACTAGGCAGTTTATAAACAACATAGATTTATTGTTCATAGTTATGAAAACTGAAGTCCCAGATCAAGGCTGCAGTGGGTTCACTACCCATTCTCTGAGCTTTCTCTTTGTTCCATAGATGTTCTTGGTGTAGTGTCCATCAGGTCTGTTATAGAGGTGCTACTGTGTGTCAGTAAGGCACACCCTCACTGAAGGGTCAACCGTGTTTCTCATTATATAGTGTCAGACATCTTTTACTCAGTGTCAAATTTAAGATTTACCACTGCTGTGTACATTGATAGATTGTCCTTTAACTGGTATTAGTTTCCCATTGACATAAGATACACCATTTGTCCAATCTATCAATGAGCATTTGGATTTCTTCCAGTTTTTGGCTGTTATAATCATAACTGCTGTGACCTTTCATGCACTGTGCACTTAGAAAGTACAATTTCTGAGTCATAGTGTTGGTATGTATTTAAGAGCAGAAATTGCCAAATAGTTTTCCAAAGTGGTTATACCATTTTACACTCTACCACTGAAATTTGAAATTTTCAGTTGTAAAGCCAGGTTGAGAGTCTGCTTCTCAGTGTGAGTTTAATTTACTAATATCTTTCTGATAAGTTTGAACTTTTCTTACTAAAAGTAAGTATATTTATATATGTGCATATACGTAATATTTTATTAGTTTTTGGGGAATTTTATACTTTAAGGAATTATATTTTACAGATACTTTCAAACTTATTGCAGTAGGTATATAAAACACATGTCTTACATATACATAACTTGGGGCCTGCCTTAAAGATATGTAATAAATCAGCATGAATATGTTTGCTAAAAGCAGCATATATTTCAAAATATTTTGAAATCCTCATACAGTGTAGCCTCTGCTCAGGATCTCTCAGTCTGGGTAGCACTGTATGCTCATGCAGGTTGTTGGGATTGTAGGACAGACTTTTGGGCCTAACAGGCCATTCATTCAGTGAACTTGTTGTGTTAGCCTCGCCTTTCTGTGCAATCTTTCTGACTCTGTCTCTGGAGAAGGGCCCTTTGAATTGGCTACACCCACCTCTATTCTTGAAAGAGGACTACAGGTTATACATATGGAAGTGGAAGTGAGAGCTCTGTGTACTACACAGGGGCCTGTAATTTGTAGACAGTGACCTGCTTCATTGTTGAAACTATTTTGAGTTATTTTTCCCTCGATGTACATTTTTATTCTTCATCTACTTCTATTTTTTTCACATTGAAATTTGTTCCATTTATGACTGCCTGACGAGTGGAGTGACCAACTGTGCTTGTTTCCAAAGATGTGGTACTGTTCATGATAAATCCAGGGAAGTCCCAAGCACCATAGATAGTCATCCCACTTTCCAGTACCAACCTTGACATTAGAAGTTTCCAATCTAGTAACTGTTTCTGTGGTTCCCAGAAGAGTCCCAACAGATACCATCCAAGCTCATAGACCCTAGACATTTTGTCTAAGTTCATGCAGTATGTATGGAGGAGAGCTAGAATTTAGTTCAGAGCCCTCTGAGGCTCTTCAGCTTATTTCTGTTTTCTCAAAACTTGTGTTAAATGAAAATCCATAGGAAATGGGAATTTTTGTTAATAGAATGCCTGGTATGAGTGAGGCTCCTCATTATCTTCCCATCACTTCAGCTTCGGACTTGAACGTTTAATTATGAGTGCTTCTAGAAGCCAGACATATATGCTCCACTTCCACTGTAGTATGGCTTCATGGTACATCCTATGAGATGCTTTCTCTGACATGCCCCCGTCTGCACATTGAACAGACTCCTGTGGTTGCACTGACAGGACTTTGCTGAAGTTGTCTGCTCGGTGGGTTTGGCAAACTTAGTAGAAAATGCTGTGTAGTTTCTCACACTATTCTTCAACTATCCGGTTCGTGTGGCTTCTTTCCCATCACTCTAATGAGGCATTGTCCTTCCCTGTGACCTTATGGTGCTGAACCCACAGGTTTCCGTTCTGCACTTGATGTACCTATGGCATAGTAGAGTTCTCTCTTTCCAGAATACCAGGCTCTCCTATTACTCTTTTGCCTTGACTTTATACTTTTATTTAGCTCTGTCTTAAAGTGTTAAAGGGGGTACAGCTTTTTAAAGTTTATGTCTTTGCCTTTAATCCCACCTATCTTGATGACACCTACATTTCTGTCTCCTCTGTTTTCTCTCTCTGGTTCCAGATTGCATTGTCCAGTTTGATATATGATATTTAAGATTGTACCTCAGTAGTCTCAAGTCATAGTCACTCCTTTCCCAAGGCCCCTCCCATCAAACCAGGACCCTTGGTGATCTCTGAGTCAGTAGGCGAAGAGCCAGCAGTCAAGCTTTTCTCATCTCCCTAGGATTCTGGTCCCCAAATCCAGTTGTTAAGAGCAAAATTTCCTTGTGTATCTGGGTTCCAAATTGTATCATAAGCACTATTTTCCCCATCTTTCTTCACCACCACACCTAGTACAAGCCTCTCCACAGCTCTTCTCCTTAAACGTTATCACTTAGCTTTTCTGGAGATTGTACTTAACAATATATATTTAGTTTCCCCAAGAGTTATTAAAATATTATAAAATTATTTGTAAAGTACTCCCCTCTTTTAAAACCACTGCATGGTATGCATCACAATTGAAGAAGTGTGCGGTAGCTGTTGTACTGAGTTCATTACTAGAAAAAGCAGGAATGGCTGGGTTATGAGAAGGATCTTTTAAATTCAGTTTTATGACTCTGTCATGCTCTGTGGTAAAGACTCAGAGCCAGACAGTGTCCACACCTCAGGGCACAAGGATGACGAGCTTTCTTAAATCCATAAGAGCTGAAAACACTTTTTTTTTTTTAATTGTTAGGCTAACATGCAAAGTAATGGGTTTTACTATGGCAATTATTATTATTTATTTATTTAGAAACATTTTGCAAAATTTAACATTTAGTAATATATAAACTAATTCAACTGAGAAAATTCATTCTATGTTAAAGCTAGCAAAGCCCACAAAGCTTTTATTTCTCATAGATTCTTCATAGATTGTCTGTCTGTAGTTAGCAAGTAGCATAGTACAGTGAGAGTGATCGGTGGTTCTATCTACTGGCTGTTCTCTTGATTCAGAGAGCAATTGCACTTACTGTGTAACTGATGAACCGTATATCCGTGGGACCCACAGTGGAAGGAAAACACTGACTCCCAAAAGCTGTCTTCTGACAGACATTGGCAGTGCTCCTCCATGCACACGTATGATAATACATTCTAAAACATTGCCACAGTTAACTTCACTGCCCCCTTTAATAAGGCCATGCTTGAAGAAGTGTGTGGTAGCTGTTGTACTGAGCTGATCACTACTGAGTGCTATAGGATGTCAGGGGATGAGATGCTATGGACACACGTCATCAGAGAAGCTTTCTGGGCAAGTCAGAGAATGAGCCATCCCCAGGCTCATTTTGATTGCTTAACCGTTTGAAGGTCCATGCTGAGCTGGATCCTGCTGAGCTTTGCTGTACAGTGATGAAACAAGAACTGTTCCAGCCTCGATGACTTGGACATCTCAATGGCTACCATTCAGGTGGCTATTGTGTTGCTGTTACTGATGGCACTTGTCTGTCATATATGCTCCATGATTCGTCATGTGCTGTATGTTCATTATTTTTAGGGGAAGGCAAGGCTAGGGATCAAGTGGGGCCAGACACAGTCATGATGAAAAGCAGCAGTAGCAGCTATATTTGGGAGGGAAGAAGGCAGCAAGCACTTTTGTATACCCCAAACACCATTAAAAGATCATCATTTTCAGAGAAAAAAATGTTAAGAAATCAGATGTGAATACGGAAATGAGTATTCTGTTTAGTGTTTTTAACTTCACTGTGATTCCAGCCATTATGTGGTTCACTTGTTATAATTTTGTTCCTGGAGTGCTCCACCTGGGAATCATTTGTGCTACTGAATCTCTGTTAGAGTTGCTCAGTGGCTTGTTGCCCATCTGATTTCCAGAATTCCCTTCTGTGATCATCATCTTAGGTATTCCCTTTGCTTCTTACTCCTTTTGGAGTGCCTTTTACTTTCCAATATTTTTGTAAGAACCTGAAAATAGTAAATTTTAAGATTTTGTATTACTTATTACTACTTTAATATTCCCCCCCCCTCTCTCTCTCTCTCTCTGTGTGTGTGTGTGTGTGTGTGTGTGTGTGTGTGTGTTCCAGAGGATATCCCCAAGTGACATTCTTAAGGAGCTGTCTACCTTGGTTTTTGAGACAGGGTCTCACATATTAGGTTAGGCTGGCTGACCAACAAGCCCCAGGGATCCTACTCTTGTACTTCCCCAGTGCAGGAATTATATCACATCTGCCCCCCCCTTCCTTTTCTTCCTTCCTGTACTGACTGGTTTTGTATCAACTTGACACAGGCTAGAATCGTCAGAGGAGCCTCAGTTGAAGAAATGCCTCCACGACATGATCCAGCTGTAAGGCCTTTTCTCAATTAGTGACCTGTGGGGGAGGGCCCAGCCCCTTATAGGTGGTGCCATCCCTGGGCTAGTGTTCCTGCATTCTATAAGAAAACAGGCTGAGCAAGCCAGGGGAAGCATCATCCTCCATGGCTTCTGCATTAGTTCCTGCCTTCAAGATCCTGCCCTGCTTGAGTTCCTGTCCTTGTTTCCTTCAATAATGAACAGCAATATGGAAGTGCAAGCCAAGTAAAGCCTTTTCTCCCTAACTTGGTTTTTGGTCATGGTGTTTCATCTCAGCAGTAGAACCCTAACTAATTTTCTTTATCCTGAAAACGTGTGTTCTCAGACCCACTGTCATCCTGTAGTAAGGGAATAGAGACTGGAGACATTGGTGTCAAGAGTGACAGAGTGAAAGAAGCCGGTCTGCAGAGGACTTGAAACCTTTCCCTACCTGTTGCTAATGCAACAGATGGAACGTGATGTGAGAAGAAAGGCAGCTGCCATATACAAAGGTGGGAGAGGAAGGTGCTATGGGAATGACCTGCAGAGGGTATTGAGCCTTAATGTCCCTGTAGATGTCTTTTCCCAGATCACTAGCTCACCTGGAGATCTCAGGGAGTGTCCCCCAACACTCTCTGGTTTGAGCCTTAACAGTCCTTAGGGTTTTCTTCATTTGCGTTTTGCATTTCCTTGGCTGGCTAGAAAGTGGAGCTGAGGTTCTCTGCTGAATGGCCTGGTGATTGCTGAATGGAGGAGTGGAATAATGTGAGGTGAGGAGCAGAGAAGGATTACAACAGCTAATGGGAGTTGTGGGGGGAGGGACATCCCACTGAGAGAGACCAGGCTGCTGTCTCCAGTTCCACCATCAGTTTGGGGACCTATGGTGTGTTGCTTTCTTATCTGCAAGGCACTCCTGAGCATGTATTATAGGAAGCTTGTGCAGCTGCTTCTCAAGACAACAGAACCTGAGCTGTGGCCTGCAGCATACATAGAGTTGTTAGACATTGCAGCGAGCCCTTTAGGAGATTGTTGTTTTGGTTTATTTTGTTTTTGGTTTAAAAGTCAAAGCTGCCCTGGGATGTGGTATGGGATGGCGTAGAAAGGAATTCTAGTTGGGTTTATCCACACACTTGAATCTGAGCTTCCAAAACAAAGAGGCCTGCATGTTTTGCCTAAGATTGCTCTGCTGGGTGCTTTTATTGTACCTCCTGGCAACCTACATTTGGTTTCTCTCCCTCATTGTTGCTGTTTGAGGGAATGCTCAGTGACATATGTTGTTTTTCCACTTGGCCTAGTTAGATTTGATCATCTAAAATATAGAAGAAACTGTCTCTATCTTACAGATCTTTCTTTATCGTAGAATACCTTCTGTTCAGGGCAATAGCATCCTTTTTTCTCCCTGTGTAACCCATCCATCTAACAATGTATAAACTGTTAAGTTCTTTTTCTTTCTTTGCTTATATTTTTAGACCCTCAGGAATGAGCATTAGTAGAAAATTACATTGGAAGCACCAATGGTTAAAGTTTATAGATTTCTTGGTAGCAGAAGTAAATGTTTAATGACTTTGTAAGATGCTTTGAGTTAATATTTAGGATTTTGGGAAATGATTTTATTCACACATTAAAGTATTTGATCGTGATCACTTAGAGAGTGACTTCACATGAGCAAGAGTACTTACTTAGTTTCCCTTTTAATTATACTTAAAATACCAAATTACCTATTTTCAAGATTGAAATTCCCGGGCGTTGGTGTTGCACGGGAAGCAGAGGCAGGCGGATCTATGTGAGTTCGAGGCCAGCCTGGTCTCCAGAGAGAGTGCCAGGATAGGCTCCAAAGCTACACAGAGAAACCCTGTCTCGAACCCCCCCCCCAAAAAAAAAAAAGATTGAAATCACTCAATCACCCACCTACTGGAGTTAGGATCTTCAATATAAAACATTTTTTCTCTTTACCAAAGGAATTGTTTAAGAGCACAATAGTTCTTAAAATTTCTATTGATTTTTATCTTATTTATTTATTTATTTATTTATTTTTGAGTCAGGATCTCTACACAACCGTTTCTATCCTGGAATTCACTCTGTAGACCCAACTGGTCCCGAACTCCCAGAGATCTACCTGTCTCTGCCTTCCAAGTGTTGGGATTAAAAGCTGGTGATGATTCTTAAAATTCAAAAAGAAATCAGTGAATCATATCACAGATCACCATTGTGCAGTAACAAACAGTATAGTATTAACCACATATCCAATATTAAATTTTAAAAATAGGCAAGTGAATTAATTTTAATTAAGATATAACCTAATATACTCAAAATAATTGGTATAAAATTTTTGAGTGGTATTTATACTCTTTTAAAAAAAAGTATTTAGTCTTGGAATTTAGCATATTTAAATTGTATTAGCCACCTTGCAAGTGCTCATTTGCTAATAGTTGTTGTCCTGTACTGTGTAATTTCAGACAAGCTACCTATAGAAATCATAAAGGCAAGTCTTAGAACCTTGGATGAAAGCATTAAATTAAGCATACACGAAAGGTGGAACAAAATACAAGGACATTCACTCTTACTGAAATGCCCTTATTGTTAACTTGTTGCTTTAGTCTGTGATTTGCACCTCTGAGAAGCCTCCTTTTTCCTCTTCGAGGGGATATATGTAATGTGAGTTTCACGTATGTATCTTTGTCATTTTCCATGACTCAGGTGTCCTTTTGCTGTATTGTATCTCTCTGCCTCTCCTGCTGTCACCCTCTCCTGTCCTCCAGGTCTCAGGTTATACCCTGTTACTGACTATTATTTGGAGATAACCACCCAGAAGTTAGAATTAGTGAGATAATTGTGAATACAGTCTTTTCCTTTCTTTAATCGTTTTAGTTTCTTGTTCTACTTATAGGTAGTCCTCAAGGCTAGTCCACTAGATGAATGGGTAAGGAGAAATTGGTACATATACAAAATGCAAAGTAATTCAGTTGTAAAGAAAAATGAAATGTGCAGAAAAATGGATGGGCCTAGAAAGTATATTCATAGAAGTGACCCAGACTCAAAGATGCTAGCCTGTGATAGTCATCTCTTTTTAAGAGCAGAGTTGAGGTTGTTTTGTTTTCCCAAATATCCAGGCCCAGTTTTTTCTACCTTATGAATTAGGGGTCTTGGTGTCCTTTATCTTTGGCATGTATAACAAATATTTCTCTCAATATTTTATATAATTTTCGATTTGCTTATTGGAGTATCTGCCATGAAAAAGGCTTACTAATACTTTTTAAACTTTGTCAAATACGGTAGTCTTTATTGCCAGATTTTGAATCAGAGTTAGAAACTCCTGTTTTAGTCTTTGGACATACTACCCTGTATGCATCTAATTTCATCTGCATTTGGACACTAAGCATGATGGGGCCTGATTAGTATGTGGATGGGTTAAAGCCTTTTTAAAATGCAGGTAATAGAAGAACCCATGCATATTTACTTCTAGCTTATAAGTAGACTCAAGTACTGCTGGTAGTCATTAGAGAGCCTTATCTACAGCTTCCTCCAGCAGGGCAAGCACTAATTAAGCACCCTCAGATGTGCCAGGCAATCTGTCTTAAAACTCTTCTATGCATAGCTGAACTAAGGAGAGATTACCACCGAGGTAGTTAGAATTGTAATTAGTGAGATAATTGTGGATATACATCCTTTTAAAATCTCTTTAGTTTCTCAGTCTATGAGAAACTAAGACTGGTCTGTAGTGGCATCTTGTTTCCCCAGTAGACTTGCTGTTGTGGCTTCAGGTGTGCAGATGAGACCCCTTATAAGGAAGAGGAGGGGTTGGCTCTCTCTCTTTGGTAAAACAAGATGCCACTACACTGGTCACCTTTTTGGAGAATCTGGACAGTTAATTTGGTCACTTTGTTTAAGATGAGTCTACTATTTTGAGAAGAGTCCAATCCAAGGCACATTGGTGTCATAGAGCTCCATTTTATCGCAGAGCTATTATTTAAAATGAGAGATTATATGGGGCCTTTGGTAGTGGATCAGTATTTATCCCTAGCATACAAAAGGACTTTGGGAGCCCATTCCACATAGAGGGATACTCTCTCAGCCTAGACACATGGGGGAGGGCCTAGGCCCTGCTCCAAATGATATGACAGAGTTTGAAGACAGACCCCCCCCCCCATAGAAGGCCTCACTGTCCCTGGGGAGCAGAAAGGAGATAGGATAGAGGGTTAGTAGAGGGAAGGGAAGGAGGGGAGGAAGAGTGAACTGGGATTGATATGTAAAACAAGCTTGTTTCTAATTTAAATTTTAAAAAATAGGAAAAAAAGCCCTTCCTTAAAAAAAATAAATAAAATGAGAGATTGTGTATTATAAATCTTGCCTGTTCTCCCTGACTCAAACTATGGAGATAGTGCAGGAATGAGAAATAGGCTGTCAAATACCTTTTTGCTGTTAGAGGTTTTGTGAAGACACTTCCCCTACCCTCTACTGATTAGTTAACCCTTCTCTAGAGGAAAGGAGGGAGGGAGTTACCTGTGCACCTGAAACTGAAAACACTTAGTCCCTCATTTGCTCTTTTAAAGGATGCACAATGTACTGGGCATGGGAGCTCACACCATTTGGGAGGTAGACGGAAGAGGATCTCTCAGTTTGAAGCCAGTCTGATCTGTGTAGACAGCTCCCAGATAGCCAGGGCTACATAGTGAGACTTGTCTTGGTGGTTGTGCTGTCTTTAAAGATGCACAGTGTAAATAAAAGAAAGAAGAGTCAAGGGAGCTAATGCTGAGCCCTCAGGAGCCCCATAATGGTCAGGGAACAAATAGGAAGACACTTGGGTTTTGCTGCAGTTCTCAGAGGCATTGGGTTGGTGACTTTTAGTCACCTACTTTTTGAGTTGTAGTTTGCTTTAATCTGTTCCCGAGTCAAGATTTTGTTTGTTCAGAAATGAGAGCTTTTTCCTAAGAACATGCTTTCTTGAGTGAACACAGAAAAGGATACAGTGCTGTTGTGAAGGGCAAGGCTAAACAGAGGCCTATACCATTTGTTGG